TTTTTTTTTTGGAGAGGTTTTTGCTATAGGGCGTGTGTGCTCGCCCGACAGAGAGAGACATAGAGACAGAAAGCAAGAAATCACCCCCCAGAGGGGATGGTCACACCACAATTCCTTCTCCATTCTCCTCTTGGGATCTTGGGCATGCATGCACACACGCCCAGTGTGAGTTTTAAGCCACCAGGTCCGGGATGTGAACTGTGGTCAAATATGTGGGAGTCCAGCGACATAGCCATTACGCTAACTGCTGGTTCTCTCTCATTGTGGTTTTGATCTGCATCTCCCTTATGATGAGGAATGTTGATCATTTTTTCAAATATATTTTGGCTCTTTGTATGTTTTCCTTAGGTCATTTTCCCATCTTTTAGTTGGGTTACTCATTTTTTTCCAGGTAAGCCATTTGAGTTCCCTGTGTACTCTGGTTATCAGTCCCTTATCTGAGCATAGTTTACACAAATTTTCTCCCATTCTGAGGGTTGTCGATTCACACTAATTGCTGCTTCCTTGCTGTGCAGAACTTCTTAATTGGATGTAATGCTACCTATCTGTCTTGGGGATCATTGCCTATGCTTTGGTGGTCTTGCTTAAGAAATCTTTGCCTACCCCAATGTCTCCTAGAGTTTCTCCAGTATTTTCCACCAGTAGTTTTATAGTTTGCAGTCTTAGTTTTAGATATTTGATCCAATTTGAGTTGACTTTTGTTAATGGTGACAGGGGTTCAGATTCATCTTCCTGCAGGTGAATATCCAGTTTTTCCAGTGCCATTTGCTGAAGAGGTTTTAATTTTTCCACTGGATTGACTGATATCCTTTGTCAAAGAGCAGTTGGCTATATATTTTGGGATTTATTTCTGGGGTCTCTACTCTGTCCCATTGGTCCTCATGTCTGTTTTTGTACCGATATCACATTGTTTTGACTATCACAGCTTTGTAATATATTTTGGGGTCAGGAAGTGAGATGCCACACACTCCGCTCTTTTTGTGTAGGATTACTTTGGCAATATAGATTTTTTATGGTTCCAGATGAATTCTATGATTGTCTTTCTAGATCTGTGAAGAATGTCTCTTGTAATTTTATAAAGAATACATTAAATATGTAGGTTAATTTGGAAAAGATTGCTGTTTGAGTATGTTAATTTCCTCAATCCAGGAACATGGTATGTTCTTCCACTTTTTTGTGTCATTTTTGATTGATTTATTCATTTAATTCCTTTTCTTTTATACATTCAATCACATTATTATTTGGCTTACAAAATGGATATTTTAACAGGTGAACATTTCTCCCTAGTACAGTTGATAAAACTATAAAATATCCTCCACATTTCTTTGTGTGATTAATACTTTGCCTCCCTATTTTTCTTCTAAATGTCCTTTCTCAGACCCTCCACTTTCACACACACTACATTTGGTGTTTACATCTGTATACTGTGTTGCTATATCCTTTAGACAATTAGTTTCAGTCATAGAATACAGACACTTGGTATATATTAAGTGGGGACATAAAATGCCTCTCTTTCATTGCCTGGCTTGCTTCACTCAACAGTAAATCTTCCATATTCATCCCTTTCCTGTCAAAAGCCAGGGTTTTGTTGTTTTTTATGGCTGAATGGTATTCCATAGAGTATATGTGCCAGTTTTTCTATCCATTCATCTGTTCATGGGCATTTGGGTTGTTTCCATGACTTAGCAATTGTGAATAGTGCTGCAAGAAACATTGATGTGTGAGCACTTTTCTGAGTAAGTATTCTTCTATCCATTGAGCAGATACCAAGGAGTGGGATTGCTGGATCATATGGTAGTTCTATTTGTAGATTTTTGAGGAATCTCCAAATTGTTCTCCACAGTGGCTGGACTAATTTACATTCCCACCAGCAGTGTAAGAGAGTTCCCCTTTTACTACACCCCCACAAGCACTTATCATTT